ATGGCTTGAACGATCCAAAAACAAAGGAAAAAAAAAAAAAAGAAAAGAAAGTAAAAATGAGATCAACTTCTCTCAAAATATTTCCTTATGTACAACAAGTAGGCTGGAAAAGGGAGTCAGCCTTGAGGGTCCTGCTACCTCAACAAGGCAACATTTCTGAGGTTGAACTCCTAGAGAGACCTTCTTGGTGATGTGTGCTCAAGATCAAGTATTGTCCACTAGGTAATAATAGTTAAACATAGAAACTGGAGATGACTTTGTTTTTTTTTAATTTTTATTTTTTTTAATTTTTTTTTCAACGTTTATTTATTTTTTGGGGGACAGAGAGAGACAGAGCATGAACGGGGGAGGGGCAGAGAGAGAGGGAGACACAGAATCGGAAACAGGCTCCAGGCTCTGAGCCATCAGCCCAGAGCCCGACGCGGGGCTCGAACCCCCGGACCGCGAGATCGTGACCTGGCTGAAGTCGGACGCTTAACCGACTGCGCCACCCAGGCGCCCCATGGAGATGACTTTAATCAGAAGTGAATGTCCCAGGAACTTGGAAGCTGGTGAGGACTTGGTGGTAGGGCTATTGATGGGACATGTTATCTTGAAATAAATCAGCAATCACTGAGCAATTTCTTTGTGAATTTCAAACCTCAGGAATTAGTCTCTGCCCTCAAGGTACTTAGAGTCTCCTGACTCTCCCGCTGATTTTGGTGATAGAGCTACAAAGAACTATAGTGAGATAGGGAAGAGAGGTCCTTCCGACTGGGGCAAAGTCTGGATGTGGTTTCGAGGCTGGGCATCTGCTTATTCAGTCAACAAACCCTTCCGACGTCCTGCTTATTTTTTAATTTTTAATTTTTTTTAATGTTTATTTATTTTTGAGAGAGAAGGAGAGAGAGTGAGTGGGTCTGGGGTGCAGAGAGAGAGAGGGAGACACAGAATCTGAAGCAGGCTCCAGGCTCTGGGCTGTCAGCACAGAGCCCGACGCGGGGCTTGAACCCATGAACTGTGAGATCGTGACCTGAGCTGAAGTCGGAGGCCTAACCCACTGAGCCACCCAGGTGCCCCGAGGTCCCGCTTCTAACCAGGCGCTGGCTCCCTGCCATCTGAAAACTCATGTCTGCTGCTGCCATGGAGCGGATTACAAGTGCAAGTGTTATCTCCATTCAAGTGACTTTTCTCTGCTCCCTGTCTCCAGTCTCTCCCCCAACACCAGCCCTCCTCCAGCCCTGAGGATGTGCCCCGAGAGAGCATTCAGAGGACAAAATCGCTCTTGGAGAACCTGGGCCCGCTTCCATGAATTGAAGGCTGAGGAGGGCTGGGATGGGGGTCCATGCAGCTGTGCAAGGGGTGCTGTTGTTATTGGCCTGGAAAGAGAGTGATCCCGCCTCTCTGCGGCCAGAGAGCCTGCTGCTTTGATTCGCGTGATCTGGCCACTTGGGGGTTACAGGACTTTGAATAGTTGTCTTTGGACACTGCCAGGCCCCAGAGGAGAGAGGAAGGAGAGAAAGTGGGGAGATCAGGGCTTTGTCATATGGACAGTGAGCCTGATGGTGGCTGTGGCGGCTCCAGGGCACACGAGTCCCATCATTCGGCTTTCCAGTAGTTACCAACCTACCGTCCTGCTCAATAAAGCTCCGCCCGGGAAGGAAGAGGACAGATTCCCTGATGGTACAATAGGCACTTTCACAAATGCTACCTTCTTTCTGGCTGTAGCATCCCTGACATGTGGGCATTTTTAGCTCTTTTTTTTTTTTTTTTTTTTTTCCTTAAAACCAGTGGGGAGATCCACTTAGGGAAGGTAAGCAATGGGGTCAAGGTCACATATCTGGTAAGTCCTTTGAACCAAGGTCTAGCTAACCCTAAAGGTTATGCTCTTCAAAACTACATCAGGGGGCTTCTTGGCCTCTCTGGTGAAGCTGACCCTGATGGTAAGAGGTCTGGCCAGTTTCAGGGCCGGCCAGTTGGCAGAACTGGTCTTGAACCTGAGTCCTCTCCCGCTTCTTTCTGCTGCTGGCCACCTGACCCACAGGAAGTCCATCAAAAGTAAATACTTGTCCTCCCCAGCACATCTACTCGCTGGCGAGTAAAAAGCTTTGGGGAATTTGGGACTCTGGAGAAGAGTAGATATTGCCACCTTGGAGATGTGTACCTATACGACTGGACTTGAGACAAAGCCGACTGTAGTCCTGGGAATCAGGTGGCCTAAGTCCAGAAGCATTTCTGGGCACAGCGGTATGGTAGCTGGAGCTGCTTCGGTGCCTCATCTGTACCTTTCTTCCCTACAGCTTTGTCAGGGATTTCCACAGCTCTGCTTCTTATGCCTGCTGACATTACAGCCAAGTTTTCCTCTCCCTGTGTTTGCCCAGGTAGCACAATCGTCCTTGCGTCCCTCTTGGCCATGGCCGTCTTGGCCACGGCTGGGTACAAAGGGTGTTTTACGAACAAAACAGAAGAAAACCAAACACTCCCCCCGCCAGCCCCAAGACCCAGGGAAGTGGTTTGTTTCGGCTTAGTGTCAGGGCGAGCTTCCGGGCCCACACAATCACCCTCCATGGCTGAGCTGGTGGAGAGCAGTCACTGCTGGGACTGTAAGGGGTGTGGTGCTAACGGAGGGACAGGGACAGGCAAGCAGGCCAGCCACACGGCAGGCTTGCCCCGAGGCACTTACACGTCTGCTCTGGGGGCCATCTGCCCTCTTTGGTGTGTGTTTGGAGGTGAAAACCTCTCCGGGGTGAGGTGCAGTTACATGCAGAGAGAGGTAGGAGACACACATCTCAGTTCCAGACCCACCACCTGTGGGACCCTAAGTCCCCGGCTCATTTCTCCCCTTTCGCTTTTTCCATTTGTCGGTTGAGGGGCCGCATGGAGACACTGAGACGGGACTTTGCAAACAAAGCATCATCATGATACAGAAGGAAGGCATTGTAACTTTTGCGGGGCGGGGGGGATCCCCATACTCTTGGTCTGACTTTGAGACATCCTCAGAGTTGTGCATCGTGTATTTGTGCTTTGAACGACGTGGTTCGGGCTCAACTGTATTGCTCCCAAATTCATATGTGGAAATCCTAACCCTTGGCACCTCAGCATGTGACTGTATTCGGAGATAGGGTCTTTAATGAGGTCATTAAAATGAGGTCATTGGGGCGGGCCCCAAGAGCATGATAGGTGTCCTTGTAAGAGAGAGATCGGGACACATACACAGAGGGAGAAGGTGGCCTTCTACAAGCCCAGGAGAGATGCGTCAGAAGGAATCAAGCCTACCAAAATGTGGATCTTAGACTTCTGGCCTCCAGAGCTGCAAGGGAATAAATTGCTGTTGGTTAAACCCCCCAGTCTGTGGTATGTCGTTATGGCAGCTGGTGCAAAGCAATAGACACAGAGATGATTTAATAGCCATCTGATTAGAGACACCTCGGGAAATTTCAGATCACCCACTCAGAGAACTGGAGCTGATCGAGGGGACCGTCTTCCGAGTCTTCTGAGTCCCTCCTCCTCGGGAGGACTTCTCCTTTGTGCTCTTGTATTTAATCGTCCTATTAACCCTGTGAATTTGGGATTACAAATTCCAATTTATTGACGAGGAAACCGAAGCCCGGAGGCTTATGTGACTTGACCCAAGCCACCCTGCTAATTTCAGCAGAACCAGGAGTTCTAGAGGTTGAGTTGCGTAAATGCTCTGCTTGGGACCAGCCCGGCCAACGTAACTTGAGGCTTGCCACCAGCTGCCAAGGTGACCTGCTGGAAGAGCAATTTGGAAAAAATAAAGAAGGTGAGGCACAAGGAAGAATTTCAAAGCCTTTCCCTAATCAGGACGAATGGCTGCGAGCCTGAGGTGTGCGCAGATAGCCTGCCACATCTCAGAACGCAGCTCTTGCCACAAGCCAATGCCTCGCTGGCTCTGAAATTTATGCTGGAATTTAGACAGAGAACACAAATCATCGTAATCTCCCGATGAAAGATCACTGTCTCTGCAAATGCATTACCTGCTCGGAAAGCGACATGTTAAAAAATACTGATAATATATGGGCACAGGGAGAGCGATTTCCATGCCTGGGCTCCTCCAGCTAAAATACGCACACCTGCACAAGAGGCGGCAGATGACAAAGTAAGTCACCGGGGCCCAGGAGCAGCTTCTGTGTCGAGCTGTGGCTCTGACACTCCACACAAAAGACCCTGCAAGCCTATGGAGCAGTCTCCCCCCACCACCTCCAACATGGGGCGCCTTGGATGCCGGAGGCCCGAGTGGGGGGCGTGTGATTCCATCCTTCCCACCCCCGGTCAGGATGCCCTTGGTCTTTTCTGCAGGAGGGAGACGTGGGAGGAGGAACTGGAGCAACTGATGGGCCTCAGAGCTGGAGGAAGCTTCCAGAATGAGTTAGAGGGACCACCCCGTTCACTTCCCTCCCTCTCTCACCCCTCCCAAGTGCTCGGTAAGCAGCCCTGTGGGGGCCTCCTTCGCGTGGAGATAAGATACAAAGACAGCCCTTAGCTGTGGGGGCACAGGCCTGTGACTGCTGGAAAGGCTGCCCTCCTGTCTCCCCACCTCTCCCTTTCCTCAGGCAGCTCCAAGACATAACAGCGCGGGGGAGAGCGTGGGCTTGGAGTCAGACAGACCGGCTTTCTGTGGCCGTGACTCCAACTTCCCGACTAATTGGCAGCGTGACCTTGGGCATGTCCCCTTCCTCGCTCGCTAAGCCTCAGCTTCTTCCGGGCACCACCCGCCTCCCTCTCCCAGCGCCCAGCCACTTGGCTTGTGGCTCAAGGTTACAGCTTGGTCTTTGCGACGCGGACGCCCTGTCTTCCTCCGCAGTGTGCCGTGAGTGCCAAGGCCGGCTTTCCTCCATGCCTCTGCTCAGGGAGAAGCAATTCGGAGTCTAATGGGCCTGCGGAACAGGTGCATCCCTCTTGCTGGAAACATTACTGCATAAACACAGCGAAAAGAACCCAAACCCAAGTACATTGTCCTAAAGGGGGAAATAATACTTCAAAATGGCCAGAACGTTTACCGACCCAGTGAAGGGAAAACAGCAATGCTGCGCTGAGCCTCGCTCTCCCCGTCCTGGGCTGGAGAGTGAGCCTCTGCCGGCTAGGCGGCAGCTCCCAGGCCGGTGCCTGTCCTTCAGAGGGGTGCGCTGGTGGCAAAGGAGTCTAAGGGTATCTTCTCGGCCATTTTATTTCCTGACAGAAATGAAAAAGAGCCTAAGGAGTACCGTCTGCGGAGAGGCCAGCTTGGAAGAACCTGTTTGCAGCAAAGGCGGATGGCGGTCAGAAGACGGCCTCGTGGGGTCTCTGCCAGGCCTGTTTGGAGGACCGGGCGGCTGAGGGACTGGAGTGCAGGGCTGCCGGATCCGTGTCTGCCGGATCGGTCTGGCCTCTCCAAGCGCGGTTCGGCCTCGCGAAGCTGTGCAACAGGTGCGTGGGGCACCTGCCCCTCCGCCTTCCCGGAGCCCACTTCCCGTTCACCATCGTTCTCCAGAATGGTTTCTGGCTCCATAAAACCAAAGGCATTTGGCGCATAAAACCAAACACCTTTTGTGTGATGGCCTTCTCGTCATGAGTTAATAAGATACAGAATGAATGAGCACGGCCTCTGTGCTCCTGGTTTCCCTATATAGTCGTGACGGGGTGGGAGAGTGGTCGTCCCGCCCCTCTGGGTTATCTTCAGTGTCTTTCAGGTCTGGTCCCATTTCATCTGGCTTTCTCCTCCCGTGGAATGATAAGCTCTTCAAACAGACATTCCTTCCTTGTGCCCGGTAAGGCTTAGTGGAAGCACAAAGCAAGAAGAGGTGTGGGTAAAGACAGAGAAAACTAAGTGGACAGGGAGAGATTGGAGGCCTGCACAGCATGACCGGGACCGCATTTTGGGCAGGTGTGAGATAACACACATACAAATGTAACACTCATTCATCTAAAGGTATTTGAGGGCCATTTTGTGTCAAGTCACAGTAAATAAATATAAGCAAATGAAAAGTTGCGCCTTCACCCTCTCGTGGAGCATATATGAAAGAATCACAGAAGTCATGTAAAGGTGAGAGCTGTAGAAATGCCAAAGAGTGTTACCTCATCCTATGAGAGCATTAAATAGTAGCATTTGATCAAATTAGGGAAATCAGAGAAGGCTTCCCTGAGGAAGTGATACTTGAGACCTGAAGGTTGACTAGGAGTTCACCTGTTGAATTGGAAAAGGAGGAGCATCTCAGTTGGGCAGGGCAGCCTGGGGCCCGAGAACATATCTATAATAGACAGAAACAGCAAAGGGTTACAATGAAGAGTATGTAAAGGACTGTTACAGATCGACTAGAAGAGCACAAAGCAATCTCCTGAAAATAGGCAAAAGACACACAAAAATAATGGAAGGAAACATATGTGGCTGATAAACACATATAGAGATGTTCAGTCTAATTAGTGATCAGGGAACTGCCGATACCATTTTACAGCATTGACTGGCAATGAGGCTGACAACTTACATGTAGAATTAAAAAAAAAAAATGACCTAAAAAACCAAGCTCATAGCTACAGAGGACAGATTGGTGGTTGCTTGGGAGTGAAAAGGAGTCACAGGTTACAGACTTCCAGTTATAAAATCAGTAAGTCCAGGGGATAGGATGTACAGGTGACTACAATTAATAATACTGTATTGCATACTTGAAAGTTGCTAAGAGAGTAGACCCTAAAAGATCTCATCACAAGAAAGAAAATTCTGTAACTGTGTGTGGGGACAAATGTCAACTACACTTACTGTGGTGGTCATTTCACCATATATACAAATATTGAATCATTATGTTGTACACTCGAAACTACTCTAATGCTATAAGTCAAGTATACCTCAATAAAAAAAATAAACAGCTGACCATACCAAGTGTTGCAGAGCATATGGAACCATGGGGTCTTTTACACATGTCTGGTGGGGGTGTGAACCAGGGCAACCACTTTGGCAGTCAGCTTCCAAGTGCTTCCTAAAGCCAAACATAAAACCAACCCATACATCCATCAATGCACACCAAGAAATGTACCAAGGGGCGCGTGTAAGAATGTTCATGGCAGTACTGTTTAATCAAAAACCAAGCAAACCAGGAAACGATGTGATTGGTGATCAACAGAAGAGTGGGTAAGTAAACTACAGTATGTCCACACAATGGCATATTGAACATTAAACAGATGGACAACCATAACATGCAACAATATGGATAAACTCTAGTAATGTAATATTAAATAGAAAACAAGTCTCCAAATAATATAAAGTCAAAACAGCTAGAATTACTTCTAGAAATATGTGCTGTATTTTACACACACACACACACACACACACACACACACACACACACTCTAGAAACAGTAAGACAAGGGAATGGTAAACACAAGATTCAGGATGATGGCTGGTAACCAGGATGATGAGATGTGAGGTCACCAGATGGTTTGCTGTAGATTGTTTGCTTTTGTTTTGGTCAGTGGGATTATGAGTGCTCATGACATTGCAAAAAAATTACTTATCAACCTAAAGAAATAAATAAGTAAATAAGCCATCCTATATCTGAGCAATGAAGACAGTGAGTCATTAAGTGAAGATTATGATTGATACAATTCTGCTTCTCTGAGATGAGAAAAAAAAAGTCATGTACTTGGGGGAGGGGATGAGAAAAAGCCACATGCCTGAGAGAGGAGTGTGTGAGGTAAGGGATGGGGCTCAGGTGAGAGGTAGGGGAGAGAGCTATGTAGGATCTTATAGGGCCTGTTAATGACTTGGATTTAATGGGGTAGTATGATGACATGGTCTTTATATTTCAAAGGTCTCATTCTGGCTGCATCGTGGGTATTTTATTAGTGGTGGTCAGAGAGAATATGGGGAAGGCTGGTTGGGAGGCTGTATCTACTGTAGGTAAGAGGTGATGGTAGCATGGATTAAGGTGAGATAATGAGAGAAGCAGGTGAACTTAAATAACAGTAAGTAAAAACTGATAATTTTAGATAGAATATGGGGCATGAGAGTCAATGATGATGCCTCCATTTTATTTGTGAAGGAGGTGGATGGTGGGCTATTTACTGAGAAGAAAGTGAGTTTAGTTTTGACTATGTTGGATTCGGATGCTTTTGAGATATGCCAGTGGGCAGCTGGATACTGGGCTCCATAACTTCCATGGGACCTGAGTTAGCTGAGGATGTACAAGGGAGTCATGGATATGTGGGTGGGGATTAAAATTGTGGAAGTTGATAAGATTACCTAGAAAGAAACAGTGTAGTGAGAAGAAAGCTGTTGTAAAAACAAAATTTAAGTAGACAATTAAATTAAAACAGGCCACACATATCCTATGATGAACGTGTATCATGAATCAAAGATTATGATTAATCTAGTTAAAAAAAATCAGGGTCTAAGAAACAAAACATATGAATATATGGGAGGGGAGAAAAAAGAGAGAGTGAAACAAACCATAAGATACTCTTTACCATAGAGAACAAACTGAGGGTTGATGGAGGGAGTGGGTGGGGGTTGGGCGAGATGGGTGATGAATGACAGGTATTAAGGGGGGTACTTGTCATGATGAGCACTGGGTATTGTATGTAAATGATGAATCACTGAATTCTATTCCTGAAACCAATATTGCATTGTATGTTAACTAACTAGAATTTAAATAAAAAATTGAAAAAAAAATCAAGGTCTGGCATTTGGAGAGATCTTGACTTTTCCAGGAGGGAAAGAAAGCCAGTCGGCCTAGGGTACAGAGGGGTGTGGGTGGTGGGAGGTGAGGTGGGCTGCGGAAGGAGATAGGGGATAGATCATCCAGCATGTCATAGAGCATGTTCAGGATTTGGTCTTTATTCTGGAAATATTAAGAAAGATTTAAAGCTTTAAAATTTTTGTTTCAACTTAACGTTTTTAATTATTTATGTTTGCTTTTAAATCAACCTTATTAAGGTATATTATAATTTACATACCATAACATTTTGTATTTTATTATTTATCTATTTATTTGCACCCATTTTACATGTACACTTTGGTGAGATTTCACAGGTATATATTCCCATGTAACCACTACTGCAATCAAGATATAGAACATTTCCATCACTGTCCACCCTGCCGATTTCTCTTGTGCACCATTTGGAATCACGGATGCCCTTCCCCCATGCTAACCCCAGGTAACCACTGATGTCTTTTCTGTTATTAAGCACTAGCTTTGCTTCTTCTGGAATTCATGGAAATGGAATCATGCAGTGTGCTCTTTTGTGTATGGCTTTGTTCCCACTTATCAAAATGTTTTTTAGATTCATCCACACTATTGCAAGTATCAGGTTCATTCTTCTTATTGCAAGTATCCCACTGGGTGGCTATGCCATAGGTTAAGTAACCCACTCACTGATTGTTGGACATTTGCATTTTTTTCCAGGCTTTGCTATTATGTAGAAAGCTGCTATTAATATTCATGTATGTCTTCACGTGAACACATGCTTTCATTTATCTTGGATACATATCTACGACTGACATTTCTGGGTGCTAAGGTAAATGTAAACTTTACAAGGAACTGCCAAGAGTTTGCCAAAGTAGTTACATCGTTTTCCGCTTCCATCAGCAACCTATGAGATTTTCAGTTGCCACATGTCTTTGCCAATACTTGATATTGTCCATCTTCTGAATTTTAGCCTTTCTACTTGGTGAGATATGGCATAGGTCAGTGGTTTTACTTTGTATAGCTCTGATGTCTAATACTGTTAAGTGTCTTCTTGGAAGTGTCTGCTCAACTATTCCGTCCATTATTTATTTCATTGACGTCTCTTTTACTGAGTCATAGAAGTTCCATATGTATTCTGCACAAGAGTCTTCTGTCATGTATATCTTTAGTTTTCTGCCAATCTGTGGATAGTATCTTTTCGATTTTCAAACTTTTTAACAGGGTTCACTTAAGAACAGAAATTTGTAAATTTGATGAAATTCGATTAAGGTATTTTCCTAGAAGTGTTGTAGTTTCAGCTTTTACACTTAGCTTTATGACACATGTTGAGTTAATATTTGTGAATGGTGTGAGGTCAGGGTTGAGGTTCATTAAAAAAAAAAAAAGGATATTTAGTTGTTCTAGCACCACTGTTGAGAAAACTATCCTCTCCCACTCAATTATATTTCTATCTGTGTCAAAAATTAATTAGCCATATATGGATGGATCTATTTCTGCATTCTTTATTCTGTACCAGTGATCCATATATATAGAAATATGATAGGTCACACTGTTTAGATTACTGTGGCTTTATAAGTCTTGAAATCAGTTAGTGTAAGTCTTCTAAATATTTTATTTTTTGAAAAAAATTGTTTTGTTATTCCAGGTCCTTTGAATTTTCATACATTTTTTTGACATCTAAAAATTTTTATTATTTTTAAATTTTCTAATTAAAAATTTGTTTTAATGTTTATTTTTGAAGGAGAGAGAGAGAGAGAGAGAGAGAGAGAGAGAGACAGAGCATAGTGGGGGAGAGGCAGAGAGAGAGGGAGACACAGAATCCAAAGCAGGCTCCAAGCTCTGAGCTGTCATCACAGAGCCTGATGCACGGACCACCAGATCCAAAGTCGGACCTGAGCCAAAGTCGGACACTTAACTAACTGAGTCACCCAGGTGCCTCTTCATTTTCTAATTTTTAAATTTCTAAGAGAAATTATGGTAAATTTCACACTACATAAAATTTACCACCTTAATTATTTTTGCCTTTCATTTCTTTTTTTTTTTTTATTCAAGTATAATTAACATGCAGTGTTATATACATTACTCAGTGCTTATCATGGTAAGTGTATACTTAATCCCCTTCACCTATTTCCCCCAGTCCCCCTGGCCACCTCCCCTCTGGCAACCACCAATTTGTTCTCTGTATTTAAGAGTCTGTTTTTTTGTGTGTCCTTTTTTTTTTCTTTATTTGCTCATTTGTTCTGTTTCTTAAATTCCACATATGAGTGAAATTATATGATATTTGTCTTTCTCTGACTGACTTATTTCATTTAGCGTTATACTCTTTAGTTCCATCCATGTTGTTGCAAATGACAAGATTTCATTCTTTTATGGCTAATATTCCATTATACAAATACATTTTAAAATCAGGTTGTAAAAAGTCCAGCTTGGATTTTGTTTGGGATTGCTTTGCATCCATAGATAAATTGGGGGGAGAAGTCCTATCTTAACACTGGCTCTTCCACTGAATGAACATCATATATTTCTACATTTAGAGGCCTTCTTTAATTTATTTCAGCCATGTCATATACTTTTTAGCATGTAAGACTTGCCCAAATGTTGTTAAATTTATTCATAAATATTTCATATTTTTATGCTGTTGTGAATGGTGTTTTAAAACTTTCAATTTCATGTTATCCTTGTTACCAGAAAATGTATAATTGATTTTTGTATGCTGACCTTGTATCCTGTGACTTTGCTAAATTAATATATTATTAGTTAAACATTTGAAACATTTTCAAGAATTTGTTTGAATTTGAACTTTTCATCTGGGCTGCCAAATCATTGACATAAAGTTGTGCACAATATTTTCTCATCCTTTTAATGTCTGTAGGATTTGTAGTGATGTCCTTTTTTTCACAAATCATATTGGTTATTCGTATCTTTCATATTTACCCCCATTTCTTTATCGCTGGTTTTCATTAATTGGATTATATTGCACTTTTATATTGTTTTCATTGTATTTATCCTGCTTTGGATTAACTAAGTCTTTTGGCTTTGTGCATTCATAGTTTTCATTAAACATGGAAAAAAATTGATCATTATTTCTTCAAATATTTTTTCTGCTCTCCATATTATTGCAGGACTCTAATTATCTAGTAACTGCTTGATATTATTCACCAGGTCATTGAGGCTCTGTTCATTTTTTTCAGCTTTTATTTTTATTTTCTCTATCCTTCAGTTTGGGTAGTTTCTATTGCTATTTTAAAGTTCACTGCTTTTTTTCTTTTGTGGTATCTAATCTACTTTCTAAATGCCAGTGTAATGTTTTTATTTAGGGTAACATATTTTTCAATTATGCAACTTACATTTCATTCTTTTAAAATATTTCCTTTAGGGATGCCTGGGTGGCTCAGTCGGTTAAGCATCCGACTTCGGCTCAGGTCATGATCTCGTGGTTTGTGAGTTTGAGCCCTGTGTCGGGCTCTGTGCTGACAGCTCGGAGCCTGGAGCCTGCTTTGGATTCTGTGTCTCCCTCTCTCTCTGCCCCTCCCCTGCTCATGCTCTGTCTTTCTCTGTCTCAAAATTAATAATAAAAAAAAAACCATTATAAAATATTTCCTTTAGTCTTCCTTGAGTTTATGTATTTCTTTAAAATCTTGTGCATAGTTATATAGGTATTTAAAAATCTTTGTCAGCTTAGGGGTGCCTGGGTAGCTCAGTTGGTTAAGTGACTTTTGGTTTGGGCTCATGTCATGATGTCATGGTTCCTGGGTTTGAGCCCCTCATCAGCTGACAGTGAGGAGACTGGGGCTCTCTCTCTCTCTCTTTCTCTCTCTCTCTCTCTGCCCTCTCCCACTTTTGCTTTCTCTATCTTAAAATAAATAAATAAAAACTTAAAAAAAATTTTTTTTCAGCTTGTTTTGCCATCTCTGTTATTTCTAGACCTCTTTCTTTGGTTTGACTTTTCTCCCAAATAGTTTTCTCATATATAATAGTTCTTCCCCCCCCCCCACAATGTTTATTTATTTTTGAGAGACAGAGCTTGAGCAGGAGACAGAGAGGGAGACACAGAATCCAAAGCAGGCTCCAGGCTCCGAGCTCTCAGCACAGAGCCCGATGTGGGGCTCGATCTCATGAACCATGAGATCAAGACCTGAGCTGAAGTTGGATGCTAACCGACTGAGCCACCCAGACACCCCTCATTTTTAGTAGTTCTTGACTAGATGTTGGATATTTAGGATAGAATGTCAAGTTTCTGGATTTTGTTGTTATCATATATAGATTGTGAAATTTGTTTTGACTTGCAGTTTTCAATTTCTTATAAATCAAGATTGGAGGGGCCAACATGGCAGAGAAGGAGGGGGATCCGTACTTCCCATGTCTCTCAAACAAAGAAGGGTTGAAGCCAAAGGACTTTGAACCCCAAGAGGAAAATAGGAAAAGAGACTGAGTCTACCAGGGAGGCACTGGGACAACCTAATGGGTCATATGTGGGTGATGGCAAACTGGGGGAGAAAAAATGGGCTGCATAGGCACGGAGGGGAGGGATCCCCTTCTGCGGAGAGACAAAGGGAAGAGAAAGAGCGTCTGGGGAAGTGTAGGACTGTATCTGGACAAGAGAAAAGCCTCTGACTGGGACTGAAAGGGATTCCATCTCTAACTGCTGGGCTTTCTCTGGACTGGGGCCATCTGTTCTGTTTGCACAC